GAGAGGTGTGGAGGGAAAGGTATGTGGGAAGGGGCACAGAGCTTGCATGCCCTCTCTGTGCCCTCCACTCTCCCAGCACCTCAATGTGTTCACTTACTTGGAAGCCATTCAAACCTCTTCAGTTAGGTTTTTTTTTTATGGAGGCTTCACTGCATAGGAACGATTGATTAAGTCATTGACCGTTAGTTAACCAAATTAAATCAACCTCCAGCCTTGTGTCAGGAGGTGGACCTGAAAGTTCCAACCCTCTAATCACAAGGTTGGTTACCCTGGCAACCAGTCTCCATCCTGAAGGTACCCAGGAGCCCGCAGCCACCAGATGTCTCCTTAGCATACAAAAGACACTTACCGGGGCTTCCCTGGTGGCGCAGTGGTTGAGAGTCCGCCTGCCGATGCAGGGGACACGGCTTCGTGCCCCGGTCCGGGAAGATCCCACATGCCGCGGAGCGGCTGGCCCCTTGAGCCATGGCCGCTGAGCCTGCGCGTCCGGAGCCTGTGCTCCGCAACGGGAGAGGCCACAACAGTGAGAGAGGCCCGCGTACTGCAAAAAAAAAAAAAAAGACACTTACCACTTCTGAGATTCCACGGGTTTGCGGGGAGCTGTGTGCAGAGACCAAATACATATTTCTTATGTGTCTCTGTGGTGGGAAGGAGGGAGGCATTTTTAAACTGCCTGTGTTTAAGTCACTCAAGAATTCACCAATATTGGGTACTTAGTGTGTACAAGTTTTGACCCAAGCGGCAGAGCTATGGTGATGACCAAGACAAACCTGCCTCCAGAACATGATTCCACCTTAGCATTCGCCCCTCCTGCTGTTTTCTGTGCCAAGGGATGCAGTTGCTGGCACTGGCGCACACTCGCACTAGCAAACCAAGGCAGGGTGACCCGCTACTGATGGAGAGAGTGGCCTGTGTCTCTCAGGCCGGGTGATGAAAAAATGTTGAGAGCCACAGTTCAGTCTTAGCCACCTTCTCTTTTGGAGTGGATTTACCTTTTATTTTTCCTCCCTCTGAACTCAGAGTGAATCTACAACATGAAAATATCCGTGTTTCTTCGGTTCTGGAAAATTCTGAGACATTTTCTCTTTTATTGTTGCCTTTTCCTTAACCTCTCCTTCTGGAACTCTGGTTGGAAAATGTCATTCATCCTCAGTGTTTCTTAACTTGGCTTTCATAATTTTTCTTTCCTTCTCCATGTTCTGGATTTATTCATTCTGTCTTCTACCTTCCAGTCTTCAGCTCAATCCTAGCACTGATTTCTTTTTTACTATTGTATTTTTCAGGTGTCAGAATTCTACTTGATATTTTTTAGATTCGCCCCATCTTTTTTCTTTGTCTCCTATTCTTGCATTATAAATTTAGTCCCTTCTTTGGTAAATTTGAACATTTTAAATATACTTATTTTAAGATCCATGTCACCTAAACGTATAATAGCCAGTCCCCTGTGGTCCAGTCTGCTGACTTTCTTTCTTGTTAGCAGGGTTCCTCATGTGCTTTGTAACATTTCTCTCTGCTCATCTTTTGTAGATGCTGCCTTCATGTTCTGACAATGTTATATTAACTCTTTTCTGCACAATTATATTTTCAGAGTTTGTTCCTTCAGCCTGGACACGTTTCCTTTCTTCATCCCTGTATTGTGGTTGTGCCTACAAAATCCAAATTAGTGTGGAGTTATATTCTGTCCTCTCAAGTGTAGAACTTTTACCATTTAAACCTAGAGCACAACTGAGAGGAAAAATGGTGTCTTTTCTTCTTGGCTTTTTCCTCTATTAAAAAAAAAAAACAAAACTATCCTCATATAAATATTTTTGAACAAAATTTTATAGAACATAACTGATTTATTACTTACATAATAAAAATATCTATCCTTGTATAAATATTTTTGAACAAAACTTTTATAGAACATAACTGATTATTACTTGGAAATATATACGTCACTGCTTTATTTCTTTATGCTTTAGTTACATGCATATTTATTCAACTTTTAAAGTAAAGCTATTTAAGAAGATTATATAATAAATTTGAACTAATATGCTCAATTTTGGCACTAATTTTCTCTATGATTAAATATTTCTAATACCTGTCAGAAATTGATATCTAAAAATAAATCTCTCATTCTGATACATGGAGATTGGTTAAAACACTTCAGAAACAAACTGCTATCAAGAGCTTTCAGACACCTTCTGTGAACTGATTTATAAAAGATAATCCATATGCTAATTGAAAATTATTTTTATTTCTTCTTTAAATCAGTCTCCTAAGGAATGATTTCTTAGGCAACTTATACTGAAGTAATTTGAATACAGAAAGAGTGGTGCAGGGATGGAAACCTGACAAGAGGCCAATGTGTATCACAGGATGATCTTGATTGAGTTACTTGAGTTCTCCCTGCCTTTGCCATTCCATGTGTTGAGTGACAATTTTTAAAGCTCATAATTATGTCATCTTTTTACCAATCTATGCTCCATCCTAGGCCACAAGTTTTCAGGCTGACTACAGTGTTTTATTATAATTATCGATTATGTGTCATTCTTAGTTTCATAACTAGACAGTGCTTTAAAGAGCAGGGAGTGTCTTATCGTGGTGGTCATCTAAACCTAAGCAGTACCTCCGCTGTTTACAGTTGGTGGATTTAGAATGTATGTGAGTTTTCGGTATCCATTAACAATGTGCCGGGTGTGGCTTTCTAAAAGACAGTTTGGCATGTTATCTTTAATTAATGAATAAAATCTATGTGGTTTTCTTTGATAATGGTAAATGGTATCTGTTATATATGTGGATGTTTTTTGCTAATTTATATTTGATGCTTTAAAGCTGTAGGAGGTGCATATTCAATTTAGTCCTAATTATTTGGGTTTTCGTCCTCCTTTCAAGGTTTTTCTGAAAAGTAATAACTTCTTTCCAGGGAAAATGCACATATACACATACATGAGCCCAGCATTTTGCATGAATTTAAGGGGGCCTTGATATCAGTATAAATATACATGCATAATATACACACACATATCTACATGCACATATATAGGGAAAATATTGATCTGGCATCATATTAATATGCTAATTTGGGAGATTTTATATTTTGCTGCTAATCTTTTTTCAAGAAATAATTTTATAGTTGCTCATTTTTTTAAAGTAACTTGAGGTGTATTTTTCTCAGAGGCCTGAAATGGGTTTACCCTATGCAACCCATAAACACGTTTTGTTTAGCCCACAGACAAATGGGGCCAACTCTAAATTTGGGACATTTCACATTAAAATCAGGATTTTTGCTTTCTTTTAAAAATAGACCTGTAAACACTGGGTCCATCTTCCCCCCATCGACCAGAGCTGTGTAGAGGCTCCATTACGAAGATGGAACGTGCCTGTCTCCTTTGCCGCAGTTCCCACACATCTCTACTGCCTTCATGACTGATGGCTGAGCATCGATTGCCGTTTTCATTGTGCTCAAGCAGCCGTTTACTTACAGAAATTATAGAAATGGTTTACTGTTTTCATATTTTGCTATCGAAGTAGAAAAATGAAAGTCCAGCCAAAAGGGCAAAGACTGCAAGAAAAACAGGAAACTGCCTATTTCTTTCTAGTTATTTTTGATAAATTTATTCATTTAATTTATTTATTTTTGGCTGTGTTGGGTCTTCGTTGCTGTGCGCAGGCTTTCTCTACCTGCGGTAAGCAGGCTTCTCATTGCAGTGGCTTCTCTTGCTGCGGAGCACGGGCTCTAGGCTCCCAGGCTTCAGTAGTTGTGGCACGTGGGCTTCAGTAGTTGTGGCACGCGGGCTCAGTAGTTGTGGCGCACGGGCTTAGTTGCTCCACGGCATGTGGGATCTTCCCGGACCAGGGCTCGAACCCGCATCCCCTGCATTGGCAGGCGGATTCTTAACCACTGTGCCATCAGGGGAGCCCCAAGTGCCTGTTTCTTTAGGGAAGTAAAAAATATGTACTCAGTCTGCTTTATGTATTTGTGTTATATGTCCAGCCCCTGCTTTAGATGGTCAGATGGTGATATCTGGTCTCAGCACGAGGAATAGTTGCACTTTTCATGAGCTATTTGTTTGGTGGTTTTGTTGCTGTTTTTATTTTATGAAGGATCCAAACTGTCTAGCAAAGCATAGCAGGACTTTATAGCATAAATTGGAGTTCACTGGGGAACATGTCTTATTTTTATTTTTCTACTTTTATTTCTTTATTTTATCAAATACTCTCAAAACATTTTTATACTGTAAATGTATATATCTTTATGAGCAGTCTCAGATCATTTTGCACAATTCAGAATAATGAAATACAAGTAAAACATTTCAATATTATCCATATAGTAACCTATGTTACCTGCCTTCCGGTTCTCTGCAGCAGCTCTGCATACTCAGGGGTCTTGGTGACACCTGGCCATCACTGTAGGACAAGCCAGTGGCCAGCTGGCTTTTCAGTGGTCTCTGCTCTGACAGGTCCCTTTCTTCATAGAAAGCATCTTCACCATCCGTCAGAGTTTAAGCATAGCTGCCAGCCTTCCAGCGTTGAGCCTGAGCCAGGTTGATTAGGATCTGAGAATGAGAAGCAGCTCACTCTGTTAGAAATGTAGATTTTTTTCCCTTCATTTTCCCATTTATAAGGCGATGGGCTAGTAGCATGTAGCACTTACTGTCTTTGAATTTATCTGGTTTATTTGTGTACTTATTACCTGTCTCCCCCAGGAGTCCCTTTCACGTCTGTGGCACAGAGCCTAGTGCAGCACCTAGCACATAGTAGGTCCTTAAAAACTACTTGTGGAACAGATGGTAAAGTAAATAAATTACAGTGCTCATTTTAATAAAAATCACTTAATTTAAAGGATGCTGTTTTGTCAGTCCTCATCTTTTATGTTTTCTGTCTACCAGGTGCGGTATTGGAATAATGGAGAAGAGGCATCATCGAGCAAACTGAAAGTGGCAGGAAATGTGACATCGGCCAGACTCCATGGCTTGAAGAGCAACTTGGAATATTACACGGCTGTCCGGGCTTTCAACAGCGCTGGTACCGGTCCCTTTAGTGCCACGGTTAATGCAACCACCAAGAAAACTCGTATGTATCTTGTGATTTTTTTAACGTCAAAAAAATACTTTGCATTTAAAATGGTAGCCTTCTTTATCATTTTAGACCGACCACACAAGTCATTAAGCCCAATGAATTATGTAAACCCAACTCCGATCCCTTGTAAACTCAGAAGCACACATACATGTCTTCCTGATACCCCTAAATCTTCAGTTAGAAACCCCATGTGAAAATGAATGTGCATCTTTTGAAAAATTTTAGAGTGGGATGTTTAGTCAAGTCCATCCACTTTTCTTTTAAAATGTGATCAAGCCTTTTGGTTTATTTCATGTATTTTTAGTTCTCCAAAGCTTGAGGATTTTTGATAAGCATGAATAACTTAAAGTTCAGGCCAAAGAATCAAGAGTGATGTTTTTCTTCTTTTCTTTCCTACTTATTCAAAAGAGGGCAATGTACAATAAAAGGTCACCAGCCAAAGATGTTGCTTCACATGAATATATTGATATTTTAAAAAATCTGACCAGAGATGTCAGTCAGTGTTGCCTTCAAAGCTGAGTCTTTGTTAGCTGTATATTCACAGATACATTCACAAGCACCAATTATGAGCTATATATTAACCTGGCTTTAAATTAGGCTACAGAAAAATCAGTGATTTGCAATTTTGTAGTCTTTCACATATATTTCCATGAAACTGATAACATCAGTGTATATTTAGTTATTGTATTGTATTGCTACTTTCTCACAGTGCAACCATTTGAATTACTCTTGTCATCATCATCGTAGCTAATAGCAATTGAGAACATTTTATGTTCACATGCTTTACATGTATTCCCACACCTAAGCTTCATACCTACCACATGAGGTAGGTGTCATTTTTACTTCTTTTTGAAAGATGAGGAATGTGGGCATGACAGGATTAACTTTAATTTTAAAGCAATGGTGCAGTAAAACAATTTTTCTTCTTAATTTATTTTCAAAATTAATTAACCCAGTAAAAATGTTTTGTTTAACTGGCCCTATATGGGAATGAGACAGTTATTTTGCTTGACTGCCAATTTCATTAATGCATTTCTGTTTCCGTACATAATTCCCAAACTTTCGTGAGAACGTACGTTGGCTGGCTAAAATTGCTAAGAACAACAATAATATAAAATCTAATTTTATGGCTAGTGTTATTTATGGGTAAGTTAAAATATATATAAAACACAATTCTACTATGGATTTTCATTAACCAGTGTTAATTTGATCAGGAAAGTTCATATTTTTACCTTTGTATTATCTATTGAAAAGAGAATTTGGAGAGAAAGTTTAGCAACCAAACATTTTAATCCCTTTAAGTAGCATACATTTACAAGCAACCAACTAATGTAGTAATTAATTATCCTTCACTAATTATTAGGAGAAGCCTGACGCCATCTCTTATAAGACATGGTTGGGGTTAGACCAAGGAGCGTGTCGGTTTGGCAATAAACTGAATATATTCTGCGTTTAGAACTTTTCGCTAAATATGTTTGGTATTCCCAGTAGCGCTTCTGAATTAGGTAGATTTAAATATACATCATTATTATATGTTCAAAGCACAGCATCAATCAAAAATTCTGATTGCACTGATGCATGCATACAAGTTTATCTGGCTCTTTCCTCCAACTTAATAATTGATGTGATTACTCGCTAAGAAATTACGATTGTAAAAGACTGTGTGACATCATGGAATCAGTGAAGAGCTTAGTGAATTGGTTAGACAGAAGGAAGAGATTGATTATAAATCAATAGGAATTTCATGGTAATGTACAGTGAGTGAAATAGAATTATAAAAAAGCAAAACCCTTTAAAATTTAAAGATAGCATATAAATACCCAATCTAAAGTAGGAATTTGCAGGTTACAGTAACGATAGTGATTATGATTTTAATGACTAACACTTACAGAGCAATTTCCAGTCTCTGTTCTAAGTATGTTTCATGTATTGATTCTTAATTCTCACAGCAACACTGTGACTTGGAAACTATTAGTAGTCTCACTTCAGAGACTATGCGGAAGCACATAGAGGTTATATAACTTTCCTGAGATCACAGAGTAAGTAGCAAGAGAGCTGTACAAATCCAAACATAGTCTTAACCACTGTGCTAGCCTCTCTTTCAACCATATAATTAGAATGTTCATGTCATATATAGCACCAGTATTTATTGGGTTTTTACTCTTGTGTTTAGGAAGCAGGTAAGGTGATCAAAGATAGACAGGACTTCTGTGCTCATGGACCTGGAGTCTCATGGGAATTCCAGTAATTGAACAAAATCCCCCCTGCAAATGATACATTCCTATCGCCCCAATTTAACTGGAGTCTGCATGTGGGGCTGTAGGTGTTATTAAAGAAAGGTTTCCTACTTTGAGTGGGAAATTCATAGAGATAATTAAAATCCCTGACTATTCTAAGATTGTGTATAAAGACCATTGTTAAGTTTTAAATTTTACATTCATATTTTTTCTAATATACCAAAATACAAGTAAGACAATCTTTGAAAACGATTTCTAATATTATTTTACTGGCAGCTCTTAATAGTCATACTAACGTTTGACATGGTGTTAGCTTCAAATCCCAGTTACGAATTTTAATAAGGCTTTTGTGATTATCACTATAAAGAGAATTATTGTCATGCTTCAGGCATAAAGAACTAAGATAACATCTTTGAGTCTTTGCTTGCTATCTTTCTTCCCCTCTGGATTGTAAACTTGATGGGGAAAGAGACCCTCTGTGTCTGTTCACCCAGCCCCAGTACCCAGCCTGGCACTGGGAGCCACTCATTAAATGCTTAGTGGGTAGCTAGATGGATGAATGAAATCTAAAGAAGCAGGCCAGCCTGGAGTACTATTATTAATCCCATGTGCTTCCTCTTGACTGAACATGGTGAATTCAGAAAACTTACTGGAGTCCTTCACCATCTTACTTAAAATGTGCAAGTTTCATGTACTTGTAATCATGGAATTCTGTATGCGAGGCTTTACATCCATACAGATCTTGGGTGATATTTTTGATTAATGTGAATAATACAAGGATTCTCAGGTTAAGTACTGTAGCTCCCATTAAACACTTAATTTTTTATATCCAAATACTTGTGTTTTTTTTAAAGCATTTCTAAGTTACACACTAATTAGCCTCTTCAAGTAATCAAAGATGGATTTTTGTTACTTGCAACCCAAAGAGAGCTAACTCTTAAGAACATCTTTTATCTAAAGGCACTGATGAGGAGAAATTGCAGATAGCATATAAATGACAAAATGGAACGGCTTCTAAAAGGAAACATACCGAGAAGTTTATGTCCGGAGATTGCAAGAAAGAATGTCGAGGGCAAATATTCTGCTTTGTATGACTGAAAAGTCAAGTGGTAATTGTGGCTTTCAGTATGGATAAATTTAGCACTCAACATCCTCAACAATCACCTAACATCTCAAATTGATTATTTCTAAAACTAAGTTCTTTAAATCATCCCCCCATTTAAAACCTGGCCCTTCTACACTATCAATATTCCCCATCTTGGTAAATTCAATCCCGTTATTGCAGTTGCTCAGCCACAAAAGTTTTGGGGTCATCCTCAACTCTTCTGTTTCTCTTATACCCCGCACCTGGTGCAGAATCTGCCTGCTACAAGAATCTGCCACTTCTTAAGGCATTCACGGCAGTTGCCCTGGTACTAGTTGGTACAACCCTCACATGGATCAGGGCAGTGGCCCTTTATCATTCAGCCCATCTGCCTTTGTCTCCCTTAGGCCAGAGTGGTAGTGATGATGTCGCTTCTCTGCTCAGAACCTTCCAGTCACTTCCCATCCCACTGCAGATAAATGCTAAATCCTTAAAATGCCCAACAAGGCCTTTACAGTCCATCCTGAAATCCTACTTAGACTCATTTTCTACTATTTTCTACCTGCTCCTTCCACCTTCCTTTCAGGGGCTCTGCATTTACAGTTCCCTCTCCCCCGAAGGCTGTTCCTCCAGATGCCCAAGTGGGACTCTCCCCCATGCTCACATGTAACCTCAGTGCCACCTGACCGCCATATATAAAATTACAGCCCCTCATTTCCCGACACTCCCTGTCTCCTCTGCTGCTTTATTCTTGGGCATCGCACTTAGAGCCACCACCCATGCTATAGCATGTTCGTAATTATTTTATTGTTGTCTCACCAGCCTGCTTTGACTGAAGGCCAGACTCCTTCAGGGCAGAGATTTTGCCTGTTTTCCTCATTACTCTATCCCCAGAGCTCTGTCTTCAGTGTCTCAGTACTCACAGTTGGTGCGCTGTAAGTATTTATTAAACAACCGAGAATGTCTTCATCTCTTGGCTCTCTTCCATGGTGGCGTCATTCTCACCAGGTCCCCTCTTCAGAGTAACAGTATTGCCATTAAGCACCTCAAAGCCTATTCCTGTCAACTAAACATGCTGGGAAAAGGGCCAGTTCCTTCCTCATCCCTCCACTCAGAGCCAAGGAGGGGTCTTGGCTCTTCTAGAGCCAGGTTTTGTGGCAAGTAGGTGGAAACCCTAGATTGGCCTGGCCTGCATCACATGCTCAGATTCTCCCCTAGAACAAGAGAATCCTATTTTTTAGTGGCTTCACCAATGATTATACATGAGTATCTACTTGAGAAAATAGTGATATTAAATGGTGAAATCAGTTTTTCACTTGAGTGTTTGCATTTCCAAGTGGAATGTTCATCCATGTAGGTTGAGCCAAAATTAATTGTCTGAATTTAAGGAAACCAATTAAGTGTGTCCTCAGGAGATGAAAAGGAAATGTGAATAAAACAAGCCCTGAAAAAATGTGAGTCAATATTTCAGAGGTTTTTGATAAAATGAATATTTCTGCCTCTAACACCTGATGTAGAAGTTTTCAAGTTTTCAAAGGTACAATTTCATTCTAGAATCATCCACTCTAAGAGTCAGGTACATATCAGTGCAAGGTTTCCCAAATTTTAGATGGTGATCTGCCTTCTCAATTTTTTGCCATTTCTGTGGGCCTTCTATGCTAATGTGTACCTAG